GGACAAATCAAACTAAAGTTGCAAAACACGTCAATGTATATAGTTTGTTTGGGTGCGGTGCAACCTAAAATGACGTAAATAATTTTCAAAATTTCAAATTTTAAATTGGCTTTAGTTTGTGATTAAGTTTTATATCCTTAAAACGAGAACGCAATTAAATGATTTTGGAAAGTGAAAAAAAACAGTCTTTATCCTTGGCGGAAAATGGTTTTTGAAAAATAAATAATGGCTCTACCAGTGTCAGTAACGGTCTGCAATCCTATTTCATTAGCAAGATAATACAAATTAAATCAATCCAAACTATTTACTAAACTAATTAAAAAAGATTATGAGCAAACGTTAGGGTGTAGCTAAATTTAAAAAATTATATTGTACTCCAAAACCTTTTATACTTAATTAAAATTGATTGGCATTTATATAATTTATTTATTATTTTTTACTCGCACAAACAAACTAATATTAATTATTATTTCACTCATTTTACTAGTTTTTATTTATTTATTTGTATCTTATATGTGTGTCATTACAATATACATGAAATCTTTGATCTGTTTAATAGATTTAGCGATTGACAATGTGCATTCCCATTTGAAAATAATTGAAGGTTTGTTCAAAATTAAAAAAAAAAAAAAAATGGCTTGGCAATTCATGATCAAAGAAAAATGAAAAATATTCCAATACTTGGTATTTTATTTTAGATAATTAATCTGCCTTTTGATATCTATTTTATGCGCAATTATTCATAAATTTCTTTTACTTCAAAGTTCCGGGTAGTTTTTTTTTGCATGCAGTATTGTATAGCTGCGGTGCACATGCTGCTCAGCACAGTAAATAAATAACCGGCATTCCTCCTCCGGACGTTTTCTATTTTTGCCCTTTTTCACAACACACACGACGGCTCTCTCTGGACAGCAAAACGCCAATAGTGTAAAATATAATAGCGACAGGGAGAGATAATCTCGAGGTAAATAATATTGCCCACTATAATTTATGCCACACTCGTTTCCCCATCACACTGGCGGATTAAAAGCGAATCGACGGCGTAAATAAGTCATTGCATCTCGTGCATCGAACGCTAAGTGCGTGCTAATAACGTACGTGATAATTTATTGAACACGCTTCTTCCATTCAAGGAGTGCTGCAGATGTCGCAGGACCTCTTGACTTAATTATAATTAACGCCTGCAAAGCTGTCGACTTGGGTTTTATTACTTTGTATTTCACTCTATAAGCAATAATGCACCAAGCATGACTGCGTGAGATCAAAACACATTGTCCACAGAAGTTCATTGAAAAAATCGAAAATTCAAAAGCTGAATGTTTAGTAGCTTTCCTGCCCCGCAATTTAATCTTCTTTTATTACTTAGCGATAATAAATTACATTGCAGAAAAAAATCCATTATCGATCTCAAAATTTTCTTCATTAAATATAAAAAATTACATAACCTGGGACCTGGGTATACATTATTAATCTATTAGATCACCTAATAATGAAGTTGATCCTGTAGAAATTTAAATAAATTTTGTCTTTTCAACATGCATGCAAATTTGATAAAAATTGAGGGATTTGTGTTTATTTATTTTTTAAATTCAATCACTGATTTTAAAAGAGGCATAAATTAAGAAAATTGCGTAATTTTTTAATAAAATATTCAATCAAATTAAATATAAAACTAAATAAGTTGAAAAAATATAAGGAAAAATTATTTATACTTACTGTTAATTTTAAATTTTTTAACTTCCTTGTCTACAACAATACAATTTAACCTTTTATTGTAAACTTCTTTAAAACTTTTTAATTTTTTACGGCTATTTAAGTCACGATTCGGTTCATCCTACCTTTTTCCCTCTCGTTTTGTAATTTGAACACCTCACAGAGTGATTACTCATGCATTCTCACCAAAACCGGCCCGCGTGTTTCCTTTGGCGCGCATACCTTAGCACCTTCTCGCCTCGCCTCGTTTCGGCCGCCCAAATGAGTGTTAATATGCCCTTATTTGGACGAAAAGTTTGGATGTAGGTGTCACACAGCGCGGCCCTCCGCAGACTCTTTATAGGTCGAATTTATTCACGAAAACCCACGCGCATCTCAATTATAAATCCGCTGCCGGTAAAATCCCGCGTTGAGCAACAACCGTAACGTGACGAAACAAACGCAGTGTTTCTCCGAAGACATCAATCTCTGCGCGTGAATTTATTTCAAAGTTTTTTTCCAAACGAAGAAAGCGTGAGCCATTTTCACTTCTTCTGATGTTTCCCAAACTAATTTGCATGTAAATATGGATTTTATTGTAGACAAATTAGTTTTGTCAATTACAAATCTCCAAAAGTGTGTTTCGTTGTTTCGATGTAATAGACCTTGTGAGAGGATTTAAATCTTCTACGCCTTCTTTGGAAATTGAGAAAATTTATTTTTAACTCTTTCTTTTCTTTCCTTATTGGAGCTAGAAAAAAATCGAATTTATTATCCTCACTGTTGACAAATTTGCTTTGCTCCTGAAAAAATATTTCCCACGATTGTTTGGGGTCATATTATGGCATCAGACACAATCATTTGTCCGATTTGTTCAGGCGGGCAGCGCAAAGGTGCAAGATTTCACACCCATACACGACGGGTTCTTATTATAGGACCGAAAGCGTGTTCGTATTTGTTCAGCGTTAGTAATAATAATTTTGCCAAACACACATGTGCTTATACGGAGATACATGCGACAAATGCAAACAAAACAATTATCGGTCGGTGCGAATCTCTTGAAACAATCTGGTGTCGCCCTGATGACTTGCACTTCCACTCGCGACGGGTGAGCGTCGAAGAATCGCTCATTGTCTCTCGCGAACGGAGCACGTGGGTGTCGCGTAATTAAACTCTTTTGCTAATAATAATAATTAGGCGGCTCCTTGGGTGTGCTAATTGCGGCCATATTTCGCAGCTTCGAGCGCATTGTCGGGGCAATAATTTTCGCCTGAAACCGGTTGCGAAATTAATTTATGATATGAGCGTGTGGAATAAAAACATGTATAAGCTCTTCTTCCATAGGGAGTTCTCCAAATTGGAAATTGTTTCTGACCATATTAGGGTTGAAATCGGTATTCATCGTTGGACGATGTTGTGTTTATTTTAAAAATTTTGCACGGACTGTTCAAATATAGAAAACTAAATAAGTTATAAAAATTGTATTGTGTATTTTTTATATTAATTATTATTAATAAATTTTTTCATAAAATTACAATTGTAAATATTAATATAATATTCATTATTTTGTATTATATATATTTCTAAATTATTCTGTATAGTTATTGTAATATGTGTCATATCTGCTGATTAAAATAAATTTTGAACTTTTTTAATTTGCAAAACTAAGTATTTATAGAGGGTTTATATGTACATTCTAGGTCACTTAATAAATTAAAATATGTTGTGCCAAAATTTCATGCTCTTTACACTGCAGGAAAAATCCCTTCTTAATCCATGATTTATGTAAAATGATATGTTTATACAGATACAAATAATGCAAATTTACTACTCACCCCTTTCTTTTATTTTACTGCCAACTTTAAATTCAATGCGAGCATTATTCACTTAGCACTCCAGATGTTCTCAATTATTCCAGCCTCTTTCAAATGCAAAAAAATATCTAAAAGCACGTGTGGGTTTGGCGGGCGCGTTATATATATATTTTCAAAGTGTGCACATCCTTGAAATAGTCTGCTGCGTTTCTCTCTCAGCAGACAGTACCGAATGTGTTGTCTTCGTTATAATAAACGCAAATTCGCAGTTTGCCATAAAGATTCATTGACAGGATAAGCACCGCGAAAAACAATAAAAAAGAAGAGTCAGTCGCGGCTCGCCTAAATTCCGGCCGGAGCTGGAGATGCCTTATTTAAATGAATCGCTGGGCGTGCGTTTGTTTTCAATTTGGAAACTGCCGAGAAAAGTGGATGGAGATCTCCGTTTTGTCCTACTCGCAATCGCCAAGTGCATGGGTGGACCGGCTGGGGCGAAAGAGAAGATATTTTTTCGGAGAGCTCACTCCTTTCATTTTGACTGACGGAGACGGCGCTGATTACGGCTCATGATTTAATTGGGCGGATTTATTGAAATTTGCATTTGTTACGCACGTCTTGAACTGGAGCAGATTAGGGTTGGGCTTGTACATAACGAAAATGGAAACATCAAAACGATAAGCGGACAAGAAATCAATTTTTAAGAAGATAAACAATTATTAGTGAAAACAAGAAAAATATATTTGGTAATAATCTCAAATTAAAAAGCAAAAATTTCAGCAAACTTTCTCAAAAGCTGTATAAAATATCTAATTTAAAAAAAAAAAAACTATGTAATGTATTTTTTTTTTACAAAATGTTTTGTTAAGGTGATAATTTGGTTATCTCATACAGTTAAAATATTATTGAATAATTTCTATAAATAATTTGCAAATGAGCAACATTTTATATTATTATATAATGAAGTATTCTTATTGCCATTTTTTAAAATCTTGAAACTAATTTCCTCACATATGAAAAAAAAAATAATCATAATAATCTGCCCCCAAAAGGTGACCTACTGTTTGCTGGCACTTTAAAAACTAGAGTTTTGTCATTTCTAAAAAGTTAGTGGGACGAATTTAGAAACAAAAAATTAAAAATCAAATTGGGAGAACTCAATTTAATGTGCAAAAATTGCGAAAATTAATTAAGCAACTGAATTGACGTAATTTTTGGCAATTTTTATGAAATTCTCTAATTATTATTTTTATTATTTTGTAATAAATTCCTCCCACTTGTTGTTAGTATATATCGAGTATATTCCAGACTAATTTTAATTTTTCCTTTTTCAATTTGCAATGGGAAACACGTTTTCAATTTTTCATGAAATCCATCTTGAGTGCATGTTTGCATTCAATTATAATTGTTGTTCATTATTTGTACAATTGTTACATTCAATCATTAAGAAGCAATTTGTTTGAAGAAAAGGAATTGTTTCTCAAGTCATGATTTTTAAACCAAAACATTTTTTCTACTAAAGGTATTGAATTCTTCACATTAGCCCTCAGCGCTGCCTAAACGGAGGAAGTGAGGCGCGCTCGGGTTTATTTTCCTCGTCTCTAATTATACGCCGGGCCGTTTCTCCAAAAGAGCCAAAATCGCGGCGAGCCCCAATTTCGGACAGGCCGCCGCTAGACGGACGAAACACCATCCGCCGGCCGGCATCCTTCCTACTGTGGCGGGGCCGAAGGAGAAAATGCCCTAGCGAGAGCTGGCGCGCGGCTCCGCGGCCGCCTACGCCCGCATGCCTCCGCGCTAAGTTGTTGTGCCTTAGCAGTTCGGCGACTCCGCCCTGGCACGCTAACCAATCAACACTTGTCCACTGCGTTTTTCCCTTTTTATTTCGAGGCGAGCGTGTGTTCTCCGTTTTCATTCATCTCGGCCGTCCGTATACACGCGAGCCTGCGAGTGCAGAGATGAGAAGACGCTCTCGGATTTCCGTCCGTGTAAGTCGCGCGCGCACCAGCAACATGTTTTTGGCCAAAATTAGATAAGTTCGCGGGCGACGAGAGCAGCGCGCAGCAAGAAGAAGAAGAAGAAGAGCCAAGCGCCGGCATTGGGTTTATAGTTACTACTAGAGCTTAATTTAGCCCTGGACCGTATTTGGGAAGCGCACTCTGTCGGTTGGATCGCCTCTTCGAAGAGCAGCTCGAGTAAAGTGGCAAGCAAGCAAGCGCACCACCGCACGTTTTTCACGCGGGGAAATTCTCTTTCTCTTTCTCTCTCGTGTGTGTGCTTTCGGCTTTTTTCGACCCTGCAAATGAACGCGCACTCGACCGACCTGCACACATCTTGCACCGCGAGCCCAAAGGGTTGACCGTCTCTCTCTGCGCCACCCCCGACTTCCTTCCTCCGACACACAGGTACGTGAGTTTGTTTTCGTTTGCATGATTTCTCTCTTCTTCTCACTTGTATTTTTCTCGCTCTGCTATTTTCGATTCGTGTACTCATCGCGTAATAATCACGTGTTCTCTCTCTCTCTCTCGTTCTCGATGCGACACAACATTTGATTTTATTGTATTATTATCTCACACACAAACATTCCGCCACCTCTTTGTTTGTTTTTGCGTTGATGCCGGAATTCACCTTCTGTTTCCGGATATATTCTTATTCTTTATTATAAATTGAAATTTATATTTTTTATTATTTATTAAAAAGCCTGAATATTTATTTTTATTTGCGCAAGGTGCATACGATTTAATGATATAATTTAATCTACAATATTAGAAATTAAAACGTATATTCCCAGTTTTCAAACTTCTCTATGAGTTCCAATTTCTCATCTGAATACTCATTTTTACTGCGTTTTCATTTTTATAAAGAAAAGTTGAGAGCCATGCAAATGCGTTATACTGTTCATTTATCAAAATGTGCAGAATTCTTAAAGATCTGACAAATTTTATCAAAAACTTTTATTCTCTGTCATATTTTCATTTCGATTTCTTTAATGAATCTTGATATTTTGAAAGGTTACAATTATTTTAATAATTTTATTTTAAATAAATAGTGCTTTTTAAAGCGGTAATTTTTTTTTTCAAATCTTATATAAATTTTTTTTTATATTTTAATATAATATTAATATTTGTTTGAATGATCGAATTTAAATTGTATTTAGTTTTATAAAAATTGCTAAATAATGTTTCTTATAATGTGCGTTACAAGTATTATAAATAGTAAGTTGAAGTACATGCTTGCTAATTTACAATTTAATAAATCGAATTTATAGGAAGTTGTCCTGAAGGAAGTTATTTTGGTATGGTCAGTCACTTGATAATGTTATAATTACATTAAAAATATTCATGTTGTATTTATTTAATTTTATAATTGGAAACAATTATCAACTGAAATATTTGGTCTCATTTTGACTTTTAACACGAGAGAAGGAAGAATATTATATATTATTTTGGGTGTTTTAATAGAATTCTTAGTCTCGTTGTGCTCAGGTTTTTTAGTTTCTATTAATTATCTGTTGGTCGACTTGTTGTTAATTAGAGTGAATAGTGATAATAATGATGATGATATCAAAAAGTTCCTAGTAAAATAGTTTAAATAATTGAACAAAAATTCAATTAAAGCTCATTGCAAGGCATTGCCGCAGGAAAAAAACTCTTTCAAATATATCTTCATTTTGAAGCAATAGCTTTTTTATAAGGGTAAACGCAAATTAATTATTTAAAATAAAAAGTAGTTCATTTTTTTCCTACATCATACCAATATTTGCAGTAAAATAAAACCGAGTGCTTATATTTTATTTGAATTCAATACACATTCATAAAATTGATTTTTTTATATAGAAATTTTACGAATTTCAATCTTCTTTGATACTTTATTTCCGGATAATCACACTAAAATTAATTTTGAATAAAATTTTTGCTACACCGCATATAGATAGACTTTATAAAAATAAAAGTAATGAAAATTCTTTGAGGATGAGTGTCACATGGAAGTATTTACGGTGCTGGGTATATTTTTTCAGAAAGAAGCACCGAAATAGTCAAAGTCACAGATTTATTTCTCTTTGCCTTTATGCGGGATGAGTTATTTTAGATGGGTCCCTTTGTGGGGGAGTCTGCTGTGTACAGCATCTCAGCAGTTCATGACCGAGCCGCAATAAAACAACAATTCTCCACCAACGTCATGCATCCTTTTGTCCACAGTTTTCCCGGCGGCAGTAATGAGCACTTACCAAATTGCTCGCGCTGCATTCCTCACTCTAAATTTGCAATTATTTTAATTTTTTGCTCTCCGCGAGCATCCGCTCATGCGGTTTGTCCGCGAGTCTCTTTTTTTCCCAACAGTAGAATATATAAAGTCATTCGATCTGATACAATGATATCTCTGCACGCATGGCGGGTTTTGAGCAAAGCAATACATGCGCTTTCCGCTTGAGCGGTTTAATTATTATGATCGTGCAAATGATTTAATAGATTCAGTCGGACGGTGTGCGACAATTAGGCCTTATCTTTTAATTAATTGTGTATTAATACGCGCCGCTTTTGCTCGACCGTCATGATCACGCCGAGCTAAACGCGTTTCACAAACGCCTTGGGGCGTCATAAACAAGAGTCGCCGCTGCTTTCATGAGCAAAAATTACACTATGATTTATGACTTTACTCTCTCGCAATGCTACTTTTTGCTCTGCTCCGCCTCTTAATTTTATCTGATTGTATTGATTTGCCTAATAATTTTAGGTTGCGCGCGCTAGGAGCGAATTGTGGCGCGGGGGCGACTTTTTGAATTATGATGCCGACCTTTTCCTTTTTTGTCAATCGGCCAGGGACGTGCGAAATTAGATCTATCTCGGATTATATAATAAATCAATCAGTCAGCAATAACATAATTTCTCTCTCTTATACCCACGCCTTTATAATTTAGCCTAACCACAAAATTGGTCGTTTGTTTTACAGTTTTTTTATGAATCAGCAAAGGAGCAATGCGGAGAGTGCCTTCAAGAACTGCGGGCCCGGCGCTGCAGGGATGAGCATTCCCAACTCCGGCCCTACTCCCGCTTTTGTGCAGAAAAACTTCCAGATCGGCGATGGCAATTTGTTCAGCGTCCTCACGCCGCCCTCGCAGCCACAAGCTGCTGAAAAGAGGAGCAGGTCTTCTGCCAACAAAACGCAAACGTGAGTGAGTCCGTCAATTAACGTGCCGATTATCTAAATGCCGCGCATATATTTTTGGACGAAAAATAATTAGTCTTTCGTGCATGTGCGCCTGAAAAAGCATCTCTCCATCTTTCCCGGCTTATTTGATTGTGTTTGATCCTGCCAGAGAAAAGCAGCATTGTTTGGCAGTTAAAGCACTTAGGTCGCTTTTCTGTTTGAAATTGCGGCACGCATCACTTTGTTCGATCTTAAACAGAGCATGCTGGTTTATTGTTTCAGAAAAGGGAGACGAAAGTGTAGGTGGAAGCTTAAATTTCACCATCAGGCCTTGCCGCCCGAATACAGAGAACACTACGAAGCCTCAGGTAACTATATTGAATCATCATGCAGAAGTTGCGCGTAACTTGATACGGCAAAAAAAAGGCTGAGGCCCACCTTAATTCGCGCAAAAGAATAAACATATATATGCGCTTTTGAAGTTTGATATCTGACGCGAGATCTCTTTCATCTTTGCTTTCTGAGCAAGACCATTAGCGAAAAATAAAAATATACTATATATTTTATTATTTTATCCACTTCCATACAAGGGATTCAATTTTAATAAATTAGTGTCTAGTTAAGTAAATAAAAAAATATTAAAAATAAAAAATTAATTAAAATTTTCAACTTTTTGTACAAAACAAAAAAATCAATTTTGATATTCCAATGTTTTTTGTCCTTGATTAAAAAAAAAATAAAATTATAAATAATGAGTTTTATTTATTCAAATTCTGTTCACAGGAGGAGTTCCACAGAGTACCTCGACGACTGTTTCGGAGAGAGTGAAGAAAGAGGAACAGCCGAAATCAGCAAAGTCAAGCACTCCATCGCCCAGATCAACCAAGTCCTCTGCCAGCAGCCGTTCTTCAGTCATCATGCCCTCCTTTGAGCCGTGCGCCGTGGATAGACCGGCGCCCGATTTGCCTTACATGGGCGAAATCACTCTGGACTCGAAACCGCGCCGAGGACGCAAGCCCAAGAAAGCGGACATTTGCCATTTGATTTACAAAAACTATGGCACAGTGTTTCCCTCGCCGAAAAACGAGGAGGAAGTGCCGATTGTGCCAAACGTGCCTTTGGAAAAACCGTCAAAGTTGATTTGGGCCAAAGACCCGCAGCAGTTGATGGCGGCGCCGCCGAAGCCCGTTCGTCTCGCCGGATGGTCTCCTCAGGCCGCCAGCAGTTTGCTGGAAAAACGACTGACGGCCAGTGAGGCCGGACACCAGTTCTTGATGCCCAACGACTTTCCCGCCAAACTCTGTGATTTTCCGCTGAACAGAAAGAAAAGCACTTCTTCCTCGTCCGTCCGTACGAGTTCAGACGGTGACGAACTTCTGGACGCCAGCCTCGTCCGAAGTCCCCAGCTGGCCCAGGCTTGTGTCGAGAGACTGCTTTCGTACGCAGCTGCAGGCTTCAACCCCCAGAAAGACTGTGTCCAGATGGAGCCGCTCAACCTGTGCACCAGGGACAAAAAACCAGCCGAGGATGGACTTTTGCTCATGAGCAGTTCTAGTGACTCCGAAGACGAGGAGTCCGACAAACGCGATCTGCCCCACGGACCCCCAGATGGCTTTGTTTTCTGGCCCAACCCGAACGTTTTTGTTCACCCCCAGCTCCTTTACAAACCCCCTTCCCCTGGGAACGTGAGCCAAGCACCACCTAGTCTTCTACAACCGCCGCAAAAACTGCACCTGGGCGGCAACAAGAAGAAGCGAAAGCGCTCGGCAATTTTCATCCCCCCGGCTGAGAGCCCGACCGAAGTCAGCATTTGCAAATTTAAATTCACAGGGGGTGCGAAGCCTTCTCTGGAGGAGAAGAAGATGCTGTCCGTGGACGCTGGGGGCAACTTCCGGTTCTACTCGGGCACCGATAAAGGCATGAGAAGTTTTTTACCCCATTTGCAGCACTCGTCCTCCTCAACCCCCTCCACGTCCGTGCAGGCGCCTCGGACGATGCCTTCGACCTCGGTGTCGCCCACCCAGGGGGTGAAAAACCTCAACCTGTCTGACAGGGTGGTTCACCCTCGTCGCCCCTCCCCGCAGCCGTCGCGGCAACTGCTCGCCCCTCCGATGCCCAACTTCTTGACCTCCCCTGAAATGCACGACGACCTGCTGACGAAACGCAAGAGGCGCTCGAGGAAGTCCGAGGTCAGAGAGAAGCTGGAAAAGACGTTCAAGGAAAAGGGCTTCTTGATCCAGACGCAGCAGCTCGAGTCGGCCGAGGGTGCGACTTATTGCAAATTTCGGCAGTTGCGCAAATTCACGCGGTACTTGTTTAGGAGCTGGCGAGACTACCTGCCCGAGAATGTGCAGCAACTGCCCAACGGCCCCCACCAGCAGATGCGAATGCACGACTACGAGCAGAGCAACTCGGGACCCCAAGAGACCGTCATACTGCCGCACTCGCCATAAGGACTCTTAATTTATATGTACAAGTTTCATATTACACACTGATTTTAATGGGGAAATATTGCTAACAACAATGTGAAAGAATTAAGAAGAAGAAGTGCCTTTTCTAAAAAGTGACAAACAGTTCCTGTTTTACAGAATATTTATATGATGCTCAAACGAAAGTCATAAAATAGAATTTGTTATAATATTGGTTTTCAAATTGATGCTGTTTTTTTATTATCCAAAAAGGATGCGTTTGATGTTGAAAAAAAGCAAAAAAGATTTGACGTGCGAATTTTTTATTTATACGAATTAAAAATCAATCACGTTGGCTGTGTTCCTTTTTACTACCTGTGTACCTAACGTCGACTTAAGCGAGAGGGTTTAAATTGTTCATTGACCCAATTAATCAAAATAACAAAGTAACTCATCGTCATGTTGCAGTGATTACAATTCTATATGTTATAAGAAATCGTGCCAATAAAATTGATTCTGTTTTTAAACACAGTCTTTATGTTCTACAAAATCACGGAAACAATTGTGAATAAATTTTTATTTAAATAAATTTTTTACTATAAAGCACAAGCACGCTATGCTCTATGCTTAAAGATTAAAGTTAGCACAGCAAAATCAGAAAATACAAAGTAAACTATATTATCGTGAGTATGCAACCCGCGCGTCTCAATTCCCTTCCCGCCATTGAAACCTGCGAACTCGAAACAAGTGCACGTCGCGCTGCGCACGCCCGATCACGTTTTGTTGTGTTTATGCCGGCGTCTGTTTGCAAATTTCCCTAACTGGTTGGAAATTTTGCAATTTTGAGCCATGGACGCCGATTTATATGATGAATTCGGTAATTATATTGGACCGGAATTAGAGTCCGACGACGAGGAAGAAGAAACCTACCGCGATGCTGAGCCAGAGCAAGAGGAATATGACGTGAGTTGAACTTCGGGAACTCTCTTTCCACAATTTTTTGCAGGATTGAAATTTAGAACTTAAATAAACAATATATTTAAACTGAATTAAGCATTTTTAAATTATCTGGATTTTATTTGATTGGAATTTAAATTTACATATCTCAATTTTTATAGGAAGAGGCGATGGACGAGGACGGCAACGTTGATGACGAGCCGGCGCCGTTGGCCGTTGTCCTGCACGAGGACAAAAGATACTATCCATTAGCCTCTGAGGTGTTTGGTCCTGACGTGGAGACCATAGTCCAGGAAGAGGACACGCAGGCCCTGGACAAGCCGCTCATCGAGCCGGTCAAGAAGCACAAGTTCCAGGTCAAGCAACAGGACCTTCCTGATACCATTTACAACATGGAGTAATTTAATATTCAAAATAAAACTGTTTGATTCTAATTTTTGTCCTAAAGATTCTTGGCCGATTTGATGGACACAGCGCCTCTCATCAGAAATGTAGCCATCGTAGGCAATTTGCATCACGGAAAGACCAGCTTCGTAGACTGCCTGGTTGAGCAAACTCACTTGTACATGCAGCAGCTGGAAGACAAAAGTATGCGTTACACAGACACGCTGATCACTGAGCAAGAAAGGGGTGTCAGCATCAAGGCCATGCCAGTCACTCTCGTCATGCAGGATGTGCGGAACAAGTCGTTTCTAATGAACATTTTCGACACTCCTGGTAATTTGAAAATTTGTTTGTAAATTTCAACCAAGTTTCATTGATTTTATCCTAGGTCATGTGAATTTTTCTGACGAAGCAACTGCTGCGATGAGGATGTGTGACGGTGTGGTTTTGTTTGTGGATGCTGCTGAGGGGGTCACACTGCAGACGGAGAGGCTGTTGAAGCACTCGATCCAGGAGAAAATGGGCCTCACAGTTTGCATCAACAAAATCGACCGATTGATGATTGAGCTGAAACTGCCTCCCCTTGATGCCTACTTCAAACTGCGACACATCTTGGAGGAATTGAACGGTCTCCTTGGGTACTTCATTAATTTTTTTATTAATCGAGTAGAATTTTAATGATAATTTTTCAGGTTGTACTCCGAGGAAGAAAATCCTTTAATTTTCTCCCCCCTCAACGGAAATGTTTGCTTCGCCAGTGCTCAGTTTGGGATTTGCTTCACTCTCAAGTCTTTTGCCAAAATCTATGCTGAGACTTATGGAGGAGTGAATCCAAACGAGTTTGCCAAGAGGCTCTGGGGAGACATTTACTTCAACAGCAAAACTCGCAAGTTCTCCAAGAAAGCGCCTCACAACGCACCACAGAGGAGTTTCGTCGAGTTCATCCTGGAGCCCCTTTACAAAATTTTTGCCCAGGTGAAATAAATTTTTCAAGCATCCTAAAGCAATTTATAAAAAATTATTATTCGCACAGGTTGTTGGTGACGTGGATGTGTCTTTGCCGGACTTGATGAGCGAACTTGGCATTCACTTGACCAAAGAGGAAATGAAGATGAACATCAGACCGCTTTTGCGTCTTGTCTGCAGCAAGTTCATCGGTCACTTCAGTGGTTTTGTGGACATGTGTGTGCAGCACATCAAATCTCCCCTCGACAACGCCAAGGGCAAAGTCGAGCACATCTACACGGGGCCTCTGGAGTCCGAGATAGCTGAAGACATGTGCAAATGTGACCCAGAGGTATTCAAATGGCAAACAATTCAAAACCTGATTTTGATTATTAAATTTTATTTCAGGGGCGGTTAATGGTCCACAGTACGAAAATGTATCCGACAGATGACTGCACATTTTTCCAAGTGTTGGCCAGAGTGATGAGTGGAACCCTTTACGCCAATCAGGATGTGAGGGTGCTTGGAGAGAATTACACGGCAGCTGACGAGGAAGACTCTCGCGTTCTCACAGTCGGTCGGCTCTGGATTTACGAAGCTAGGTAAATTTATTTGTTTAAATTTCACTGAATGGAATTGAATTGAATGTATCTGCAGGTATAAGGTTCAGGTCAACAGAATCCCGGCTGGAAACTGGGTGCTCATTGAAGGCATTGACCAGCCCATTGTCAAAACTTCTACCATCACAGATCCTAGCATCGACGACGAACTCTACATTTTCCGGCCGCTGAAATTCAACACCCAGTCTGTCATTAAAATTGCTGGTAGATTATTTTTCTCTACGTTAAATAATATATTTTGACAACTTATTATTTTTAGTTGAGCCAGTAAATCCATCAGAATTACCAAAAATGTTGGATGGCCTTCGAAAGGTCAACAAATCGTACCCCCTCTTGACCACAAGAGTTGAGGAATCTGGAGAGCATGTGGTATTGGGCACAGGAGAACTTTACTTGGATTGTGTCATGCACGATTTGAGGAAAATGTACTCTGAAATAGGTAAATTGCCTGAATTTCTCGAAGTATTTTAACCAGATAATGTTTCAATAATATTTTAGACATCAAAGTTGCGGATCCAGTTGTTGCGTTTTGCGAGACTGTTGTTGAGACATCTTCACTCAAATGCTTTGCCGAAACTCCCAACAAGAAGAACAAAATCACAATGATTGCTGAACCTCTAGAAAAGGGACTCGCGGAGGACATTGAAAATGAAGTGGTGCAAATTTCATGGAATAAGTATGTAGTTTTTAATGGAATTGCAAAATTTATTATTAAGATATTTGCAGGAAGAGATTAGGAGAATTCTTCCAGACAAAGTACGACTGGGATTTGCTGGCTGCCAGATCCATCTGGGCGTTTGGCCCTGAGGTCACGGGCCCCAACATTCTGGTCGACGACACTCTGCCCTCTGAAGTAGACAAAGGTCTGCTCATTTCTGTCAAAGACTCGATTGTTCAGGGCTTCCAGTGGGGCACCAGAGAAGGTCCTTTGTGCGAGGAACCTATTAGAAACGTCAAGTTCAAAATTCTAGACGCCGTCATTGCTCAGGAACCCCTTCACAGAGGCGGAGGTAATTTCACATATTCTGATCTGAATATAAAAAATTGAATGAATTAATTTAGGCCAAATTATTCCCACGGCGCGACGTGTTGCCTACTCTGCGTTTTTGATGGCCACACCTCGTCTGATGGAGCCGTACAACTTTGTGGAAGTCCACGCACCTGCAGATTGTGTGTCTGCCGTGTACACAGTCCTGGCCAGAAGAAGAGGACACGTGACACAGGATGCGCCAGTGCCTGGGTCACCTCTGTACATGATCAAGGCCTTCATCCCAGCCATCGATTCATTCGGCTTCGAGACAGATCTCAGGACGCACACCCTTGGCCAGGCATTTTCACTCTCAGTGTTCCACCACTGGCAGGTAATCAATGAATTCAACTACTGTTATTAAATTTTACTCATCATTTAATTTTGCTCACTAGATTGTCCCTGGTGACCCGCTGGACAAGAGTATCGTAATTCGACCTCTGGAACCGCAGCCGGCCACTCATCTGGCCAGAGAGTTCATGATCAAAACTCGCAGGAGGAAGGGTCTGAGTGAAGACGTGTCCATTAACAAATTCTTCGACGACCCCATGTTGCTGGAGTTGGCCAGACAAGATGTGCTCCTCAATTATCCTCTGTAATCTAAACCGTGTTTGTAATTTCTGTGTCGTGGAGTGGCATCATTCCATTAGATAAATATAGTTTTTAATTCAACTTAATGACATAACTTGTTTCATTAAAAAAAAGTCATTATGAATTCTCAATTTAATCCAAAAATATTGTTTTTCTAAACTACGCAAAAAAATGGAAAATATACCAGTTATTTATATTTTGTTGTTCATTTGTCGGCAAATTTAGATTATATTATCCTTCTTGATCATATTGTGAGGATTTATTACGAGGAAAAAGTGAAGCAATTGTAAACACGTGGTTAGTGTTAAAAGTACAAGCAGTTACAATAAAATGAAGTGAGCACTTGACAGAGAAGGAAAAACCCGGCAAATTTTTAGATGCGGTGCAAGTAAAAGACGCTGACGTCACTCGTGCAAATCATGATTATTCAGAATGTTGATATTCGGAGCTCGTCTTTTTATCAAAATTCTCAACGCGAATCGTGGGTGCGAACTTGAAAAGCATTGGTTTATAGAATAAGTCATCAGAAATTCAATTCACGCATGGGTTAAAAGGTTTTCAAATAATTGAAATTTATTTGCTCACAAAAAAATTAATTTATTCCCTGAATATTTTTTTTTAGACATAAAACAATTGTGCAGCTTTTGTATATTTTAATTTGTGTGTAAAAGTAAAATAAGTTCCTTATATTGGCGTTTTAATTGAAGATTTTTTGATTCCACAAAAATCTGTACCAATTTGTTATACTTGAACTATTTTTGTCGGAAAAGCAACACAGTGGCTTTTGGCCGCGCTGTGCTGGCGTTTACTTCGCGCCGGCCGGCCGGCGGATAGTGCATATTTGAGCAATTGAAATTGCGCCAACCAAAGATGAGGGGACCTCTGACACGGCAGGTCTCACTTTTTTCCCGGCAGTCTTGGCTCGCCGGCCTATGCACAAAAGGTTGTTGACCCAATTTTGAATCACAATGCTGTCGCATTTGCATGCCGATTTTCATAATTTATTATCGCGCCAAAACAGTCTATTTTATCTGCGCGAGGCATCGGCGGTCGTCGACAAGGAGAAAAATATCAAACCTGCTTTTTGAAAGCGCGACCGCGAGAAGAGGCGAAAAAAATAAAAATATACATAATAAAATCGCGTTTTGCTCTCTGTTTTGATTATTCGCACCCCGTAGCCTGCTTTTCGCGAGTGCTCTCTTTCTTTCTCTCTCTCTCGCGCGCGCGGTGCCGGTTTTTTAATGAGCGCGACCTTGACGTGCATTGCGCAGTGTGAGTGGAGAGATGGATTTAAAAGGCACTGTGCCAAAGTGCAATATATTTTATTGCCGCGCACCGCCCCTTGTAAATGCAAAAGTCAAGGAAAGTGCGATGCGTGTACGCTTCTTGTCCCCCGAAACGCCCACCGCAAAAAAAAAATAATGTGTCATTTGAACATTTTCTGCTGGCACTTTCCTCATGCGTAAATCCTCTTCACGCTCATCTTGATTCAAATTTTTATTATAAATCAAAAATCAAACTACATTAATAAACATGATTTGAAAATAAACTGTATTCCTTTCTCTTTTGGGTGAAATAATAATTGCCAAGGTTAAAATTTTTTAACCTTTTGTTAATTATTAAAAAAAAAGCTTTAAGCAATCCTTGTAATCAAGGAGTCAAGAGTAAAGCAAGGCCATAACATTTTATTGATAAACATTGACTCACACAATATGACAATAATAATAACAATAAAAAAATATGCAGATCGCAGATCCCATTTGAATGCTCAGTGCATTTGATTTTTATAGAACACTTGTCTCGCCGAGCGAATGATTCGCCAAATAAAATCCAATTAATTGAATTAATCGCTCAACTAGTTGATGATACTAAGTGCAGCTTAAATGCAGAAATATCAGCAGAAACTTTTAAATTTATGAGTGATTAGCTCAAAATCAGAATAAATAGAAATTTTATTTAATAAAAAAAGGAGGATTTTTGACATGATTTAATTATGAAGAATGAACAAAAATAAAGTGATTTCATTTAGAAACATTAATATTATGAAATTTTCAGCCTGGTCCATCATTATATAAAGAACTTCAAAATATTATTCAACTAAAATCATCAAAATGGATCGTTATTTTTAAAACTTTTTTCTGCTTATTTCCAGAAAAATTGTTCTATGCAGGTCTTTTCGGGTACTTTTAAAGCTTGATGTTTACAAGATGATTCAGATTTATAGTAGGCAATTAGGTGAAGTGTTTTGGTCTTACAAGAAAGGCAATCTCCGCATCAAGATAATATTACAACATGAAGATGTTAAAAAAAATCTTAAACTAAAATTGACAGGGATAATTATTGCGTAAAATATATAAAATTTAATTTGAGGGGAAAAATTTTTAAATTATGTAAATAAATCTTGTCGCTACATTTCTTATAACATGATGCAATGTCGCAGAAAAGAAGAAGTTCAAGTTTGAAAGTGCCGCGCGCTGTGTTGTTGAGAGCACGCGAGCTGCATTTAATTTGCAGAAGGACGCGCAGCGAGTGGGCATTGCATTTATTTAAAGTGAGTAGCCCACGGAAGGCATTGACATTGGTAGAGAGTAATGTCAAGTAAAAGGCAAAGCGCAAAAACGCGAGCAATTGCAGCAGAGAGCGAGTGGCGCGCGCGTTACCCCTGCTGATAGACGACAAAAGCGCGGATCGAGCGCAAGCACGAACGAATTTTTGAAACACGCACACTGAAAAGTGAGCATCCGCAATCCAATTAACGTGTCCCCGCCGAATATTGCAGCGCATACAACACGGAAAAAGTAATCACTTGAGCCGCACTTAATTCGAAAGTAAGGAATTAACCGGAAAAAAATTGGCACGACACGCCGCTTGTTTATTATTCCGCGCTTTCTCTCTCTCTCTCATTAATCTGATTATACGCGACGAAAAAAGAGTGGAATATATAATTTCGAGACTTTTTGATTGCGTGGCTGCAGGTGAATTGATGGTCTCACCCTAATCCTAATTAGCCCTATTCCAGCAGCGGCACCGGGGTGGCGGCCAGACAGAGGGGGGCGAGACGAGCCCGGCGGTCACTTAATTTGTGCTGTGCGTTGTTTTTCGCGATAACTCAACCACATCAAATATAATTATTTGATATCATATTTAATTAATTCTTCAATACATAAACCAACCAAAGCCAAGAATATTTTAATCCATAAATAAGAAAATCACACATTCTCTGCGGTAATAATTTTCATTTTTGCAATAAGGGTTTTTTAATATAATTATTGCTTTCATAGAGAATTGTTAATTAAAAAGAGGAGAATTTTCTAGCGTTTTTGAGCAAAAATGTTCTTCTTTCATCATGTTTTTGGTGTTGATTTGTCCTCAATTAAGGTGCAATTGTGGCGTAGTTTGCTGTCTAGACACGCCGAATAATCAAGTGAAATTATTTTTTTGGAAATATACGCTTTGTAATTATAATTTTCTCTGAAAATTTATTCACATCACAAGCATTTCCCGTGAAAAAAAAATGGCGATCTTAATTTATTAGCTAGTTTATGATGAGGATGTCAAATTAACCATTTAAGTAAATTTTGGTTCCAAAGTTTTTAAATTAATATATAAACCAGGTTATTTTTCTAAAATTAAAAACAATTGTGTGTGCAATAAAAGAGACACGGCGGTGGACGAGGTTTTGGAAGTTTTATCAAAATTCTTGCAAGTGGTGGTGCCGCTTTTTCCAACAAGAGACCCTGTTTCTCAAACCAAATCGTTTCCAAAAATTTAATGTAAAACATTGTGAATTAATATTTTGGCAAATGATCAAAAACAATTAATTATATTTAAATAATGTTGTTTGAAACGCAAATTTTATTCCTTGAAAACAGCTTCGAAATATATTTTTTAAATTATTCTGTTGGATTTTTTCTCCAATTATCATTGATTTTATATAATATTTGAATTCATATGTTCAAAATGGCTTTTGATTTAATTTTCGCCCAGGAATCAAAATTTCTGTTGCTTTGACGTCAATGTTTAAGCGACAATAAATTACAGTTTTGCCCTACATTTGAATGATTTATGCTGAGAGATGATTTGAGGGTCTTCTGTCAAAATAATATCATAAACTGTACTAATTTCAAAATTATGTTGAACCTAAAAATTTGTGCTCTTTTTTATTAATTATAGTCTCTAATATAAAAACCTGCCGAGTTTTTATGATTGACTCATTGTAAATTGCAAGGGGTAGAAAAATCTGGAAAAATCCATAGGAATTGTTTAAAAGAATTTGCGCTGCAAGATTTTGCCAGTCTGCGAAATTGGCGCAGTCGTTGACCCTTGGGGCGCCAGAGATATTCAATTTTTTTTTCTCCAACAGCACCGGCGTGCTAATATCATTGAGCGCAGAGCGAAGAGTGTGTGTATGAGTCGAGTACAGCAGGGAGGACATACACGCAACTTGACCCCTCTGATATATATTTCGGCCTGTTTAGCTTTGGAGACACGTTGGTCTATTATTACCAAATGACTAGACGAGCCGCAGACAAGCAGGCAGCAGACATGTATGATTGAGCACCATTTTTTTCGCTTCTTTGTTCGTGCAGGCCGGAATATTGTGTCGTCTGGAGCTCTAGTTACACCGAGACCAACCGCCTCTCAAAAGGCAGCCGCGCCGAGGACGCGACCAACAGACGACACAATCTTTTTTATTCTCTTTCTCTCGCCGCTTTTATATGACTCAGCTTTGCACATAGATTTTTCTTATTAGAGCAGGTCACTTACGCTATAGATGCTGACCAGTCCCCCAACTTGACTGTCGAGGCGTTAAATTTTTTTCAGCTGTATTCATTTTGGTAGTAATCACGTTTTTTTTTTTTTAAATGCAAATTAATAAATTGTTACAAAGTAAGAAGTAAATTGTTTTGCAACTTGGAATATTTTGATATTTTCAATAAGTCAATCAAATTTAATTATTTAAAAAAAAAAATCAAATAATTGTAGCAAATTTATTTTAAGAACCAGATTAGTATTATTTTGTTTTTGCAAATTATAACTAGTATGGGAGATTTTACATGCAAATTGATATGAATTTGGAGGAAATTTATATCATTATAATGTTTTTTAACTTCATTTTATTAATTTGTTGAAATATTCATTTTTCAGAGATTAGTGAAAAGAAAAAATGTGTGATGGTAGAATTTCAAGAACGAGGGTTGATTCATGGTGATTTGAATTTCAATTCGGCTTTTCCTCGATGGGATTGCTTAGGAAAAAACAAAAATCTGCTCAATAAGTTGCGACTGCGGGCTGCAGCAAAAATTCACGAGCTGTAAAATTATTTTGACACATAATAATTTTATAAAAAAAAAATCCATGAAATGAAACAGTTTTTGTTTAAATTCCAGGAAAATTCACTATCATTTTCTTAAACAATAATTGACTCTCAAAACCCATCGTGCAAAAAGCCCATTTCAAATTTAAATCACCAAAAAAGTTAAAAAAATTAAAATTAAGCCTCAATTTTTTTTTATTAAAATACCCTTTTTTATAATATTAGTTTCCACAATCAATAATTAAAAAAGTGTCAGATTGATTGAAAATTTGTGTTTGAATAAGTTTTCCCAAAAATATAAATTAAAACCTATAGGACTGTTTCTGTTTCAATTTCAGTATTATTTGCAGAAGCCATTAAATTTTGAGTATTGTGCGAAAAGCAGGGAAAATTTAATTTAAATTTATACTTATCAATTTTAACTAATTCCTCATTCTTTGAACTTCTGTAATTGAAAATATTTCTTTTTTTCAATATTTGGCAGCGCTAAACAGAAAAATTGCGTGGGAAAATGGGAGAAAAGCGACTCGGCTCTGGTCAAACAAGCTTAAAAATTAAGCCGCAACACCGCAAAACTGCTTATATATTGTCGTGCTCATTCACTTCTTCTTTTGGCTGCTGCATGCGACGCGGACCGGCGTTTTTGGAGGCAAAAAATGATTACATACATATACGTCTGGCCAGCCAGCAGCGGTTCGCATGCGGAATGTAGGGCGCGTTTTGGGTGGGGTGGAAAGTGGTTGTGTCGGAGACGCCGGCGCCACGAATCCGCTCGCAACAATCTCGAGCCGAACACTCGGCGCCCGTCGGATATTTCTCTATGCATGTGCTCACCATATTATTATACATTTGTGTGTGTGTGTGTGTTTAGTCTTTAGTGCGCTTGTTATGCAGGGGCTTGATCCTGCTTTTATTTATTTGGCGAGCGCGACAAAGCTGGCGGAAAATTTCTGACAACCAGGGGCACACCATACCACTGCAGTCGCAAACTTCAATAAAAATTTATGTTTTATTTATTCATAAATTTTATTTTCTTACGTTTAATTACACTTCTGGGATTTTTTTTAAACCATAAAATTAAATAATGAAAATTACAGGAAAAATCATTTTAATTTTATAACTTCAAAATCTAGATTTTTATTTCCATTTGATACAAATAAATAGTTTATTTTTTTTTTAAATAACTAGATCAAAAAACTATTGAATAAAAAGTAAAGAACATTTGTTCTTAATTAGCCTAAAAATTTTGTTGGATTTCCTTCTTTGTTGTTAAATGAAAAATAAAAATTCATATTTCGGTAAAAAACTATTTTCAGAAACTCATCCGCAATCTATCTTGCGTTAAAAGCCGAATAAAATTTTGTGTGCAAACAGCCGGCGAAATAATCCTTTTGTGTCTCCGAGCATATATTTTATAACACAATTTCGCAGTCAAATATTGACTCGATTAAAACCATTAAAACGCTCTTTGCTGACACACAAAACGCGCTCTCTCGTCATGAGCTGCGCCGCTGGTAATTTCATATTATTTCCATCAAGCGGCGGCCGGTGCCGTTTCATTGTTCACTGCGCTTGATCTATTGTAGCCATAACCTTTGCCAACTATTTCTGCACTGTGTGTGGCGGGCGGCGGAAGAAGAGATGCACTCGCGGATGACGCTGCTGTGCGATTTATGCAGCCCGCCGAGCAAACAGACCGCATGAATGGACTGACAAAGCGGCGCTGCAAACATCGTTTGTCGCTTTACAAAGCGTGTGGATCAAGTATAAACGAATCGCATTCTATAGTAAACTCATATCCATTTGTGAAATTTAAAGATTTAGTTAAAAATCGCAGCAAGTCCAATTATAAAATGTATTGTATTCTCTTTTTAATTTAAATTTTTTATAATATTTGGTTAAAAATAAGTTTTAAAACTTCAGTAATAATTTTATTATTTTTTGAATTTTTTTTTTATTAATTAAGCTAAACCAGCGTGTTTAAGGATTTTAACCACTACTACAGAGAGGTAAACTAAAAAAATATTTATTCTCTTACAATATTTATATAACAATGCACTGATGATATCAAAATTTATATTGATAATAAATTATATTTTATCAGTTCTCTTTACCTTTAAGGGAAAAAATGTATAATTTATATTTATTTATGTTAACAATAAACTGTGGTTATGAGCTACATTGTCACATATTGCAAAGATTTTCAGAAACTTGTTAAAAAGGTGTTGAATGATAATTTGTTTTACGATCGGTTCGAATTTTTCATACATAATTTTAATTAGCATGTAATGACTTGACGTGTTCTACGGGCAACATTAACTTGTTTTGGAGGTATTTTTTTTTGCATGTTGATGACTGTAAATTTGTGCTCAAATGAATAAAACTATTATCTAATCTAATCTAATCTGTACAAAATTTAATTAAAAATAATTCGCATTTTAACGGATTAATTTTGAAAATCAAGATTTGTTTTGAATCTGGTATCATTGAATTTAATAATTTCTATCTTGGAATGTAAAGCAATAAGCACGCAGTAAAAAATCCGACTCTTGCGATTTAGTGAGCATGAAAATCTCATTTTGCCATTGTCTCAGCGATCAAACAACACCTGTTGAGCGACGAGTTCAGCTTGCGTTATCATCTCGAAACCCTTCCTTTCCGCCGAGTTCACTCCGCTCTTTTCGGCAATTCCTGGAATGTAACTGACCAGACTTTGGAACATCTGCGCTGCGGCGGCACGCACAAGGAAAATTGCAAATGATTTCAAAGAAATTTTCGGTGTACACCGCTGTCGGCGCTCAATTTATATGCTTAAAGACGGGTTTGAGTGTAAAATTGAAACGCTCATGGTGATTTTTTGCTCCGTTTTCATGTATTTGTGTCTATTTTTCTACAAACATTACTAAATAAAATAACATCGCTTGATATCTTCATTCCTATTTTTTTTTCAATGTACCCTTACAATTAATATTGATCAATGATGATGACACAATCATAATGCAATTTTTTGTCCATTTTTAAAAAATAAAAGGCTTTTTTTAAATTATAAAATACGTACGTGTCTCGATCGAGCAACTCAAAATACATAACAATTTATTCCACAACATTTTTTCCGCGTTTATAAGTATACAACTGATATCTGCTCTACATCGATGTGAGAGATGTGGTAGAGAGAAAAGAGTGAACACAATGAGTTTGAGATTAATTTTGATGCGCGCAGGCAAGAACGAAGGAAACAATTTTGCATGATTTATTTTTTTCCACATATTCTACCACGTGTGTGAAGAAATTTTGCTCTTTCTTGTGTCGTGTGTATTTTTGTATGCACATCAGAGACGTATAAACTTAAAACTCGCCTACGATTGAGAGAGAGAGACATACAATTATGTATTTACAGAGAGAGAGAAAGAGAGAGTGATATTATTACACAACTACGAAACACAAAATCATGTTATGAGAGAGAGAGAGAGATTTTCTATTTATAAACTCTTGTGTTAGTAAAGTGGAGGAAAAGCAAACGTTTTACTGTACAATCAAAATCAATCAACGTTGGTCGGCGGCGGAAATTTTGTCTCATCAATTGATCAAGTAGTTAATCTTTGCGTTCGGTGGATTTGGTTTGCACCCGGCGCGATATCTTTTTTTTAATTATTAATTTGTTCCCGATCGAGTTCTATGATATATTTTCGTCACGCCATACAAGCAGCGAGCCTGCGAAACACCCACAATGCAATATCTCGTCTCTTTTCATTTATAGTCAGCATTAATCGTTACATATTATTTAAATTAAAATTATACACTTTAATCAATTTTTGAGGAGATATCACATTTATTTGGAAAGTTGTTGTGTTTTCCAAACGACTTCGTTGGCTTTTTGGCATGATTCGCTCGAATATTTTGTTTTTTTTACTTCCTCGTGCTTTAAACAGCAGCAGACATTCCACGCGAATTACGCTAAGAAAGCCGTACAGTCTCGATTGTTAATTCATTAATTAACTGCAAAGTGATTTTTTATCAAATATAGTACGACGCAGTGGAAATCATACATAAAAAAGTATAGTAAGCAGAGATTACAATTAAAATCCACAGTAATATATACTTATCCCCGTTATTAAGTAAACCATCATCAGCTTTGTACATACTTGTTCTTCTTTTGAATATAATCGTTAATACACAGTTTTGGGGTATCATTATTATTTTTATCGTAGTAGTCAAGAAATATAACGGACGCGCAATCGAATTTGTTCGTTTTTACAGCCTTTCCTTCGCTCTCACCCACAGAAACTGGACGCCGATTCGGAAAACTAATAAATCATGATCCACGTGATATTATATAATTGTATAATATTTGTGTGAGTGTGTATGTGTGAGGGATGAGACGACAGGTTGCGCGTCAGGCTTATTCCTTTTTCAAAAAAATTCATCTTCTTACACGTTAACATCCGTAATAATATATATAATAATAATTCATCTTCACAAGAAAAGCTCGCAGAAAGCCCCATATTATCTCCGTACATTAATATTAGTAGTACTTTAAAACGACATCAGAATTGCTCTTTTATCTAAAAGAAAAACAAAAATAAATGTAGAACATAAAGATTGAAAAAGAAATCGAGAGAGAGAGATAAAGAAAAATAAAAGAAGTCCCTACGCAAATAATATCACAACATGTGCTTCAATACAAAAACCTTTTTGACTTCCCCACACTTTGCTTGAAAAAAAAACACGAGTTTTTAATTATTTTTTACTTTGCAAATCGCCTTTTTTGACATTTACTCCGATTCTCGCAGGGGACACACGTAAAAAGGATGAAAAATTTTGATAGAGATCCTTTAATATGAGATAAACATTTATATGTGAATTGGTGTCAGGTGCACATCTCGCAGGCCCCTGCACTTCTGAGTTTGTTCATTGTAATTAGAGCGCGCGACCGGCGGCCCCCTGGTGGCAGCGATTTCGACCGGTTGAAGGACGGGCGACGAAACTTAAAAAAAAAATTAGTGTTTCACACCAGTGTTCTTGTCTGCTTAAATTTTTCACGTTCAATTCAAATGCAATTCCCTTGTGAAGAGTTTTTTCGGAATACAGTTTTGTGACCTTTGAACTTTGAATGTGTTCGCCACGGGTCCTCCAACCGAATTGTATATATAAAGAATAAGAGATAAGGAGAGAGGCCGCTCGGTAAAACGCAAAATAATAGCTTTAAAAAAAAAACCACATTTTGCAATTTTGGAAATCAATCAAAGTGAAATATATATCATTATAGAGACGTGAGTCCAAAAGATAAAAACAAAAAACAAAAAAATACCCCACACCGTTATACAAAAATCGCATACAAATATAGGGGGAGGAAAATCAACCGCGGGCCAAATTCGAGCGTTATACAATTATATATCTTAATTTTTTCTCGTTCATTCGCGCGAAAATTCAAAAGTCCCTTTCGCGCACTCACAAATTTGCCTCTTCTCTTGCGCTCTTCATTTTCTAGTAACAACCGCACCGCTCGACCACCATGTGAGGCAACACGCTGTACACAATGTTGAACTGCTGGTCGAAGAAGAGCATCGAGATGGAGGATAGTTTTCGGGCCGCACAGCACGGACCCAGATTGCCATTCGGGTTGGCCTGCTGCACGATATGCGTGTGCGGGTACTTCTGCAGGAAGGCGAACGGACAGTCGCCCGAGCAGTAGTTGGACTCGTACCTCTTGGGCGCGATTATCCAGTCCCACCCGAACTCGTCAAAGTCCACCGTCAGCGGGTAGCGGCAGCAGCGCGACTCTTTCGAGTTCTCGTTGCAATTCAGACCCACCACGGTCCGCCTGGTGCGGTACTTGCGGCTGTCCACTGTCTTGATCTCTACGAATGGTTGCTGCAACACAATAACAAAAATTGCACCGTCAAAATTTTATCTCTACGAAAAATTTTGGAAGAAAAAAAATGCCCCTTGTATGATTTGGAGCGGCAAACTGATATTTGATATTAATGACTTCTTATTGATGTATTAAAATATAATATTTGAGACAATGGGGGATCAAATTTTGATCTCAATAATTGCCAAAAATGAACCCTTCTGTTGAAAAGATTTCATATCATGAATGTTCCAATAGAAAATTCCTCAAATGTTATTTTCATTTGAGGTAAAATAATTAAAAATTATATTTATTTGGTTAAAAGTATCGCAATTGAAATTATAATGCAAATAAAAAATACAACTCTGTCGCTCTGGGAATGAAAATTATTAAAATAATTGTAAAAATAATTAATAATTATAAAATAAACTAAAATAATAATGAATGAATTAAACATTTTTTACTACAGTTTTCAAGCAATACTCTTTTATTTAAATTTTTATCATTATAATGGAAATTTAGAGGTTTTTTTAACTTTTCAAGAAAAAGGGTCGTCAACCAAAAGTTACAAATTCCAATTTTACATAATTTTAAAGAGGTTTTGATACATCGATATATTGCTCTTGTTTATTGAAATTGTATTGCGATTTGATTATAAGGACGGGCGCATTTGATAATTAATAAGAAACTAACAATTAATTTTTATGAAAATTTCATTTCCTCCTCATTAGCATTTGTTTTTAGATGAAAGTTCCAAGGAGATGTCAAAAGAAAAATTGAATTTATTGAGTGAAATGAATTTTTGAAAATTATCGTTGTTTCTTATAATAGGAATTTTCTATAATGGTTTTTTTTACGAAATTGGCCCAATTTAAAATGATAATAAAAATTCACCAAACAAAGTTTATATGACCCAAATCAATAGGTTGAACTTAACATTGATTTTATGAGAACTGGATCAGTGTAGAGACAATTAATTCCTCATTAACCAAGCACTCAAGCAGTTTAATTAGTGAACCAATGGAGAATAAAAAAATGTTTAAAAAGAGACGGAAAACGAAATTGAAAATTAAACTTATTAAATAAAATTATAATTTGCACTTTTTATATACTTACCAGTGCTTCACCATTGCTGCTGTAAGTGGCAACAGAGTAGGGCTTCGAGGCACCCGTCTCATCCTCGATCTTGATGATGACGCCGAGGTTGCTCTTCGGGTGCTTGAACCAGTCCTGCATCAGCCGCTTCACGTCCAGCTCGACCCAGCCGTCCTCGCGGTGCTCGCTGAGTTTGCTGGCCGACGAGAGCAGCACCATCATGGACTCGTGCTCGGACGCGTTGCTCACCACCTTGTAGACGAGCAGCTTCACTTTGCCGCGCGTCTTCGGCATGTGGATGTAAAGGGTTGCGTCCGCCACCGTGTTGCGTATCGACTGCTCGGACAGTTGGAAGTGCTGGATGTCCAGATCGTGCTGCAGGCCGCCGCCGTGCCGCAGCTTTCCTGCAAAACAGAAAAGAGAACGAAATTGGTCAAAATTGAAATTAATGGGAAGATAAATTGAAAAGCTACTCCTCAATGGAGAAATTAAAATTACTGAATCATATTGTTGACCTGTTTTTCTTTGTGTCAAATTTTATCAATTCAAGTGCGTTAAGGTTAATGCTTTATATTTTTGCTTTAATTTTCCTGGTTCGACTATATATTTTAAAAATTTTTCCTTTTTTTTAATCCACATTCATCAAAAAACAGCTAATCTTTGTTATAAGTTACGTAATCGACGATTATTTCTTTTAAATTGCTCACTTCTGATTTATAATTTCGTGGTCAAAAAATTATTAAAAAGAAAGGAAAATTAGAATATTTGCGAATTTCACTGCAAATAACGGAGATTATGCGAGACGGTGGGCGCACCAGCCAGCCGACCAGGGGTCAAGCAACATTAGGGTGTCCTTGACCCGTGCAAAACCTTGCCACTTCATAAAGGCAGTCAGTCAGTCAGCCGTCTGCACCTCGCAGGCAAGCTTGGGAGAATCGGGCACATTTGTTTATTCTCGCGCCGAATTTAGCAGTCTGCCCGCCCAATTACCGCAGCACCTCACGCCGGAGGCTGCAAAAGCGCCTTGATAATATTCCAACTGGCACTTTGCGACTGTAATTGAAATCAGCTCCGGAGAAACATGAGCAGTCGCTTATTTTAAAAACGAATCTGGTTAGCTTAATTTTAATGCCTAAAAATGTAAAAATTAATTGTTGACTTTTCTTAGAATTAAATTTTTAAACATTTCAAATTTATATTAAAATTAAAATTAGTTTATTAGTTTCATACTGATTTAACATTAAAGGACTGCCTAACATACTAAATTTATAATTTTTCTCAATCAATCACTTTTGAGGGAAATTTTTAAATAAATATATTTTTCTTTCAAAATCTATTCTGGAAGTTTGTTGAAAAGGCAAAAGGAATAAATATATTTTAACAAACCATAATTTGTATCAAAAATTAAAAATTATTATAAATAATAAATTATAAAGAACTAAATTATTATAAATGTTAATAATGTTTTATTAAATATATATGAAAAATCTAATAGTTAATTTATCCTTTTTTTATAAAAATTATCCATTAAAAAACACTGTTTCTTTGCCTGTTCTTGTTTGGAGTGGGAAAAGCCGGTGCCAGCTGGCTTTTCCACCGGGCGGTAATTAAGTCGAGGTGCACCGAGTGGAAGTTAAAGAGGAGAAAATGAAATAAATTGCCCGCGCACAAAGTGGAGCGCAAACGTCGGTCGGTGTTTGGCACGCAATCGGCGCACCGCACTTATGAATAAGCAAGGCAGCGAGCGAGTGTGTCCGTCCGCGGCGGCGAAATATATTATATAAAGTCGAGTACATGTGTCCGCGCGCGTGTGTGCAATAAATCACAAATGCATTAACAACCAAGTGGGTAATCGCGGTATGACCTTAAACTTGTATGAAATTATTACTATTAATCACCGTGTTGTCCCCTTCCTTGTGTACAAAAAGGCACACGCGACTCGAAATTAATTCTTTCTCTCCCGATCGAAGCCCAGGAAAAAGCTCGAGCCTCCTATTTCTATTCCCGAGGAGTAATTTATCCACTCGCGAGTGGGCTCGCGCAATTTAGTGCTAGGCAAAAAAGATTGGACGAGCGCGCAATTTTCGACACGCGCCCAAGCAAGACAAGCCGAGACTAAAAGTGGACACAGCAACAAGTGAACCTTCAACACCCACCGCGGCTCGGCTGGCTTTCCTCGCTTGTCACATATTTATCGTCTCGCAAAATTTAACCGACGAGATGATTTCATGGATAAATATTTTTAATTAAGTGCAATCAATTTCACTTTAAATAGGAACGTGCTTAAGGTGGTAATACTCGTAGTCAGGTCAAGTGGTCTTGAAGTCGAGAATGAAAAAGGCATAAGTTGGACTTTTAACAGATTAATGTTCGCAAAGTATACAAATAATTTATTCGTCTGAATGCCAAAGTTAAACATTGAATGTAGAAGAATAGATGTTGGTGGTGCAAAAATTATTAGACAAAAATAAATTACTTTTTCAGCACAAAACTTGTAATGGATTCACCACTTTTCCCTTTAGAAAGCATCGACAGCAGCCAAGAGAGGAAAAAACTGTTTTAGAACAAAATTTTTGACCCTGATAGATAAATCTAGGAAGTAAAATTTGATCCAAAATTTAAATTAATCAGCAGAATTTAAGAGGTATTAAATCCAATAATTATTCAATTGCTTCAAACATTTTCTAACATACAAAATTTAAAAAAATTTGTAAATTATTATTATTATTAATTGTTTATTTATTTATTTTAGCAACACATTGTTTACATTCAACTTTCAAAGACAATTAAATTGAAAAGTAAAGGAATTTTTCGCCAAAACGGCAAGAATTTTGCTAAAACTTCCGAGATCAAAACTCACTTTTGTTAAAAATTATCATAATTTCACTTAAATGCTAAATATAAATTTTATATAAAGGTAAATTTTATGCAAATATCACCTTAAACAAAGTGTAATCGATGCTTACGATGGTTATAGTCTGTCACTGTCAAGGTTTTCCAGCGATTTACTCGGGTTTGATGTAACTTATCTTCAAACGTGTGCAAATGCAAACTTTTAATCTTCGTAACTGGACACTTGACAGTGCCGTGACAAGTTCTTGGACAAACCTATTATGACGTAAAAGCGCAGCAATTGACTTTTTCACCCCCCGGTCTTGTGAATTTCTCGATTTGGCTCGCTCCCAGTCGGTCAAACGGCGTTTAATCGGACCGAGGAATTATTACACCCGACTGAAAATAAACACGACCTTAAGTTAAGGAAAAAGAAATTCCGATAACAGAGATATTTATGCCTCGGCCCAAAACCTTTGACCCAATATTCCATTTTACAAAGAGTGACACGTGCGCGCAGAACAAATTTCCGAGAATAAAACGGGCCGGCTAGAAATTCAAAAAGGAATGTACACCGCCTATAGCTGCTGCTTTCGTATAAAACGTTTCCATTCTTCTGTTCCGCGCGCCGGCCGCGGCCGGACGGATAAGCATCAGCGATGTCGAATTAAGCGAAAAGTTTCTTTCTCAAGAGTACGAAATTATTTATTCTCTCGGCTTTCGCAGCACGCACCGGGCCAAGAATATAAACAGCCGCCGGTTTGTACGTATGTTGCGATTATGTATTTAATATATATCGCACAAACACACACACACGTGCCATTTGTATGGTTAAAGAGGAAGGAGTTGAACCGCGCACAAGAGTTGACTTGGCCGCTTCAATTCGAGAGCGGCAGCTGATTTAAAGAGGACCACTCTCAACGGCCCGCTTCACAGCAATCGTTTATCTCCTCTTTTGCACGGCACGGATTTTGCACTCTGCTTTAAGGCAGCAACAACAAAGAGCCTCCAAACAAACAAATTACATAATTTGAATACTTTTTATGCAAAATGGAAAAAATATAGACAGAAGCAATTTATAATCTTTTTTTATATTCTTTAAAATCATGAAAAATTATATAGAGTATGGAATTAGGTTAAAAATCGACTACAGTTTATAATGAAACTTTTAATAAAATTATTTCTCTGCTTCACAACAATTGCATTATTGGTGTACAAATCATTATTAAAGGTAATTTCTGTTAGATATGTTATTATTTATTAATTATGTATTATTATTAATTTATATCTATTAAATTTAATATTCTTCAGTATATATAATATTTATAACATAAATTTAATTAATATTATTATAACAAAAAAAATTGAAAATTAAAAAAAGTTTTTTAAATAATAATAAATTAAAAAACAAATTTACTGTGCTAAATTAATTTTAAACTGGGTTTATCGAATCAGTCATGGAACAACAATATTAAAAAATATCATGAATATTTTGTCCATTGTTTTTTATATTTATTGAAAAATTTACTTCTACTTTCCACATTTCACTTTATTTTATAATTTCAATTTTAATTAATCGTTTTCTTTCTTAGATAGTGTGACAGGAGGAAAGTTAGTTGAACTTGTTTCTTTTGTTAAAATTATTTTCAACCACAAAAAATATGTTGTATTATTACCAATTTTTGTTCACAATGTCCGGTCCAAATATACATATTAATTTTATAATTCAATTCATTTATTCTCTCGCAACAAGTCAAACAAGAAATGGCAAAGTATAAATAATGGTTCAGAAGTTCAGATGATACAAATTTTTACAAAACTCGAGCTACGATGTGGAACAGGAAGCCCGGCAGGATGCGTGATTAATGAACTATGCAACTCGCTGAACTCTGCTGCACTGGGCGTTGCATAATTCGCCTGACGCTTCCACGGACCGCGTGGATCGAACTGGCTTTGAAAAAGTGCTCTCGAACTTTTATTTACGGCAAAATTGATCATCCGGTCGGATTTCCAAACCGGCTCAGTAATCCGCGCAGGGTCGAAATTGCGAAACGAGAGCAGGGGGAGGCAAGAGCGGCGCCCCGCGAGCAGAATTTTGCGTGATGGAACAAATTAAAAGCCGGCTTTTATGACATATTGACATAATTCTCGTGAGCGGGGTTTGTTGCGAGGCGGGCGCGCCGAGCACGCAGCACGCGCCCCTTTTCCGATAATTGATTGCGAATAAGTTGCGAATCACGTCGGCAATTAGCTCGCGCCCTGCGCTGTCTCTCTATACCTTGGTCACGCGCTAGGGCATTGGCCCCGCGTATGTTATATGCATTTATTGTCCGCACTCTCGCACTCAATCGGTCGAAGCACACAACAAACGACGCACCGCGACCCACCAACCAACCAACCCGCACCGGCCGACAGATCAATCTCGCTCTGCGCACTTGCTTTGATTTTCGTTCCTACTCTACACAAAATTCTCATAAAATCAAGAAAGATGATTATTATTTATTATTTACTTCTTTGCTTACAACAATAAGAAAAAGGAGAATTAAAACAACAGTTTTTTATCAATTCATAA